TTTTTACTTTTAATGTAATTATAAAAATACAAAAAATGACAACGAGATATTAGCTTATTGACAAGGTTGACTCGTACTGATTTTGAAATTTTATGTTCAAATCTATTATTATTTAGTGTAAATTATACACTTAATCATTAGATTTAGTTTAAATTGTTAATAGTATGATAATATGATTGTTTCTTTCTTATTTTTTTTGTTTAAATCGTTAGTTTTTTCGATTTTCGACGCGAGTCAAATGAGGCAAGTTACCGGTCATCATTCTTTTTAGATTTTTTTTTATCAAATTTACTCAAAATCAACGAAAATGCATCTAAGGTTCAATGCTCTAATACATTGATCTCCTTTGAAGACTAATTAATGAAGCTAGTTTTGAGATATGTTGTTCGTCTCTTAGAACTTTTTCCACCATTCAGATTTTGAACAAAATCTTTAAAAATATGAAGTTTTTTGTGTCTACGGTAACAACAAAACACATTTAAGAATGACAATTTTCGATGACGGTAAAAAATAGGTGAAAAACTCTAATTTCGGTGAAGAAGATGATTAAGTGAAATACAAATTCTTTTTTGACATCTACATCAATACACATCAACACTAAAATATCATGTTATTGGATCATTAATAATTTAACGATCCCATGATAAAAGAATCAATGTCAAAAGTTTAATGATAAATTGAAACTTGTTAACATTTAATGATAAAATTGATACGTAGACTAACATATAGGGACTAACAATATAGTTTACCCGTTCTTCCTCCCCCCAAAAAATGAAGCTTGATGACTGTAGCAGAAGCATTCAACCCGAAAAAATAACTAAACGATTCAAGCTCTTGTAAAAGTTGAGAGAAAGTGACGAAAAATGTACAAGTCGAGATTGCAAGAGCTTTGCCAGAAGAAAGCATGGAGATTGCCAGAGTACAACACCACAAAGCAGGGCCAAGACCACAATCCTCTCTTCGAAGCCACCGTAATCGTCGATGGAACTTCGTTTCACTCTCAGAATCCGGCCAGGTCTTCCAAGGAAGCCCAAAACGACGCCGCTCATCTCGCACTCCTGATTCTGGTAACCTCGTTTAGTTTAAGAGAAAACCCAAACCCAATTTGCAACATTATTTTTAGTTTTTGGTTTTGAATTTGTGTTTGGTCTTTAAGAAACTGAGGGAAACTCGTGTTAGTATTTAAAGAAATGATATGATTGTAGATTACAGCTCTTTAAAACACTTTTGGTACTAGTACACGTTCTGTTTTGCTTCAATTCCTTGCTGGTATTTTACTAAATTTAGCATGCGTATCTTTCCACCGTTGGTTGCTGTGGGCACGTCAAATGAAATTGCTAATTTTGATACTAACATTGCTAGTGGCACGATTTTGTCACCGGGAACACAAGCAAAACGACATTCTCTGGTCGATGAATCTGATTCCATTTGCAAAGATGATGAAAAAGTTAAAGGTTGATAATCTTTTCCATGTCCATTTTATGATCCAAGTTCGGTGATTGTTTCTCTTTGTTTTACTTTATTATTTTTCTGATTTGGAATCGGTTTGCTTATAGACATGCAACATATGTATAAGATCCTATTGCAAACTTTTTCTCAAAAGAGAAACCTTGGCCGACCGGTGTATTCTTGTGAATTCGAGGGTCCTCCTCATGCCAGTCGCTTCAGGTGCAAGGTCACTGTCAATGACAAAATCTTTGAGAGTTTGGAGTTCTTTCCTACAATAAAAGAAGCTGAACATGCAGCGGCAAGAATCACTTTATCATCTTTGTCTCCTGATGCCATTGAGAAGGTCCAGTTTATTGGTTAATGATGTGTTTTTGCCGTTTTTTAATTTACTTTTATTAGGTTATTCGTGTAAGTATTCAGTTACAAAATTTTTGGAAGAGCTTTTGTCTTTGCTATTTATGTATTTGTTTACTTATTCAGGAAGACTGTAGCTTATACAAAAACCTTTTGCAAGAATTGACTCAGAAGGAAGGTTGTCCCCTTCCAGTTTATAATACAAATCGATCTGGTGAAGCCCATTCATCAACCTTTGTTTCCATTGTTGAGGTAAAAGGCGAGGTTTTCACATGACAGTAAGCAAAAACCAAGAAGCTGGCAGAGGCTTTGGCAGCAAAAGTTGCATGTAAGAACTTAAAAGAATGTATGTGTTCTAGACCCCCATTCTGTTTTCTTTTTGAGAAAAACAAAGAGGAGAACGAAAGAGCACATTTTTTCTCTCCATTTTGTGGTGTTTTATTTTGAATTGCATTGTAATGTGACTTTCGGATGACAAATAACTATTTTTTTTCTTTTGACATGTTTTCCCAAAGAGCGTAGTGCCATGGTATTCTATTCTCAAATTTTATCAATTTGGTAGAGAAAGTTGGTTTTTTTGTATCGAGTTATGACAAGTAGGAAAACCTATGATGCCATAGATGAACTTGGTGAAAATGAGCTCTGCTCTGAAGTATAGGTGAAGCATGGTAAACAAGTTTCCTTAAAACAGGTAGTTCCTGAACATATAGATTTTTACAATACTGGAGACTTGTAGGCCTGTCATGTCAATTGTAAACCATTTGTATACGTATGCTAATTTTCAGTCTCTTTTTGTGAGTATTATGATCGGTTTTGAACGTTCCCCTTTGTGAATACTTACTTATAAAGTGCTTACAATTATGATTCCATCAGGCAAGTCAAATAGGGGTTCAATGACTATTACTCCTTCCTGCAAGGAAAGGGAAGTGAATATCCTCTCATCTTCTAATGTGCCGTCAAATGTCAATGCCGATACCCAACAGGATCTTGAATTCATATCCAGCTCATTGCTTAATGCTGTCTCAATCTCAGGAAAGAATCCACAAGAAGATAGGGGTGAGTTTTCGTATTTAAACAATCTTTTACAGATTGAAATTGCACGCAAATAATTTTGCATTTAGTACCATAGCTCTGTAATGGTTTTCTTTTCTTGAAGTATTTGTGCTTGTAAAGAGGCCAATAGTTGGCGTAGAGACAAACTATTTCATGATTTCTTGATAAGACCATTAAAGATATATACAGAAGTCGCGAGTTGAAAAGCAATTACCAATTATTGTTTTATCCGTTACATATTTATGCTTGCTATCCCATTGCTCGTGCTTTACACAAGTTGGACACTTATTATGCTACATTGCACAGTGCAAGTTCTTTGTTTGCTTACATGGATGAGTGCAAACATGCCTGTGATATGCAAACAGTTTTCTGTTCTGTTAACTAGAGTGCATTTCTTTTTATCTTTTTGTAGTCAAATTACATGCACGCTATCGAATATTAGCTTCTGAGGTATATTTCTTTCTGCATCGTGTTCATACCATCTTCATGTGATTCGATTTGCAGTTAATGGAGCATTCTGCATCCATGATCTCTCTTTTTTCCCACAACCATAGATAAGTACAGATTGGCAGAGTAGTTCATCCTTATCGGATCAGTATGATCACCCTGTGTCAGTAGATGATCTTTCTGCATCAAATTTACCTCATAAGAATTTGGCTATTGCCAAATTGGTCGAGGGTTCAACAATCAGTCTTTTGAAATCAGTAACGTATCCTGCAACAGGACCGAATTTCAACCCTTTGTGCCGAACATGAAGATTCCTGCTGGAAGCACTGTATTGCTCATGAGTGATGGCCAGTGGGTTGCTCTGAAGCTTGGATCTCAAGCAAACCAGTGACTCCCGTGAACCTCAAGATTTTGTTGCTAATAATCAATTGTCATGACATGCTTCTATTAAGTGATTCATGTAAAGCAGAAACCGAACGGTGTATTTTGAACATTGGGTAAATAAACCGAACTTGAACAAAGAAAGTTATATTCGTGTTTGTTTATTTTTGAAGTGTTCATATTTGGTTCGTGTTCATTTAAATTTTTAGTATCATGTTTATGTTTGTTTGTTTTTTAAAATATTCGTGTTTGTTCGTTTAACATTCATTAACATATTCCTTTTATGTTTATTTAATATTCAACATACAACATTTTTTCTCATTTATTTACAAGCCCAAAAAATGATGAAATTATACCACTAGTCCTTAAGTTTTTTAGGTCTTACAGTTTGAATTCTAAAATTCATCTTATATTTAATTTAATTTCTATCTTCATCAATATTTAAAATATAAAAATCTAATAAAAAAGTGAAAAAAATAGAAGGAAAAGGAGAATCGAATAAACAAGTTTATAGACAAGTTGATAAACGAACTTGTTCATAAATATAAACGAACTTGTTCATAAATATAAACGAACTAAACACAATTTTATTCATGTTCTTTCGTTTATTCAATGAACATAAAATTTTTATTCATACTCATTTATTTAATTTAATAATCGAACAGTTGATGAACAATTTATCGATCGATTTACTCATTTACACCTCTAATTTTGATTAAAAAGCAGACCAGTTGGTTCAACTAGGAGAACTAGGTTCGATGTTTGAATCATATAAGTTGAACCGTAAAATAGTACTCATTTTCTAATTTTTCCAATTTTTTTCTATTTCCCTAGAAATTTTATCTTATTATTTTAGAATAATTATTAAAACCAAATATTGAACTTTGATCACAATATATAACATGATATTATTTAGATCGTCTATATATATATATATATATATACTTATTTTTTATTAATCATATACATTTATTATGTAACGAATCAACTACCACATGAACATTAGATTCTAATTCATTATATACATTTTATAATAAATATATCTATTTAATTTTTAAAAAATATATATAAAAAAGGTTAGAATTGTTTGATTAAGTATATACTCTCTGAAAAAAAAATTGCCATTCATGTTGATTCGAATGCCAAAGACAATTTAGTTTATTCATATTGAATTTAACCAATTCAAACAATCAATTTCTTAAAAATTTTAAAACATATATTTGATATATACCGTTAGAACTTCACTAAATTATAAATATATCATAAAAATAACATTCAATTTGACAACTTATAATTTCTAAGAAAAAATCAAATCGAAGTACAAATATTGGATGAAATAATTTACACCTAATCCAAATACATTGTTCTTCAAAATTGTGTACAATTTCTCTTAAAAATGGACATTGCCAACCAAAACCATTGAGGATCACATTAGAACTCCCTCTGTGTTATTAAGGGCTTTCTTTGCAACCTTAAATTTATCATTTACTTTCTTGTTACTTTTCACAACATACTCCTTGATGAAGAACTCCATACCTTGTCGAAGAGTTTCGAGCTCGGGGGTGACAGCTATACGAGTGAACATGTTCCATATAACCTTATCAGGATAATTGAAGATGGCCTCGAAAAGCATTCGGAAATGCATGATCCTTTTCGGGCTTAGCATCTGAGGATCACTCCACTCGACAGTTTTCAAGACGGCAAGGGAAAGGGTAAACGAGGAAACCATTTCGGCTAGGAATTTTGCTAGGTGCATCGACCTTAAAAGCGGCATTGAATCCAACTCTTTGAAGTGATCCCAGAGACAATACTGTGAAACACGTCATATTAAAGATCAGAAAATAACATTGAGCGAGGTCAATTTTTGTGCATTCGTCGGACTTGATCCAAAAATGGAAAAGATAAGACTACCTGTAAGGTAAACTTGTGGTTTTTGTCATGCTCACACAACTTAGCAGCAAGAACAGTGTAGTACTTATTAAAAACCTTCTCTTGCAAGCAGCATTCCACGAGAACCCGGATAACATCTCGATCCTGTAAACGAATAATAGACATAACTATTGAATAGATGGAAAGGAAGCATGTCTTTCTCATTCTGAAGAACAACGCTGCCTACCTGCTTTCCAGGCAAATCCAACCGTAAAAGCTTCTCAAACGCATCAATGTAGTCTTCCCCACTCATTATTACACAAAAGATTGCCCTCCTGGCATCTGTATTCATCCTCTGTGCAGCCGCAAGCTCTAGCATTTTCTGGGCTTCGAGAGCCTCTTTGTCGATTGTAATGGCAACCTCTTCAACATTATCTGTTGCAGAGGCCATGTCCCCAGATAACCACCATTGCCCCTTTTTGTCAGGATCAAGCAACTTGCTCCATTTAAGCCCTCTAATTAAAATATCATCGGCCCGTAACTGTAAATATCAAGGACCGTGTCACAATATGCAAACAAAAAGAAAAGTGCGCAAATAAATCTTAAGAACCTTCTTGAGAGCAGTGACATCCTATTTATCATCATTGTTTTATAGCCGAAAAAAAGGTAAACTAAAAGGTCTAATTGAAGAGACACTTGAAGCAAGTCTAATTCAACATTAAAGCAATACCTTCTGTAGCCATTTTTTTATCCGAGTGTGTTGCACCGTATCCTCCTTCGACTTTTTCTTGTTATTCTTTATATCACATATCATTTCAAGCATGAATTCCATCTACAGAAGTAATAATATAATAAGATATTGAAAAAAAGAAGAAAAATAGCATACTAGATCCAGAAGAAAATTAAAAAGAATCTTACTCTTTTTCCATTTATTTTAGCCTCACCGTCTCCAGTCGAAGCCTTTAACTCATTCACCCTATTTTGAACACAAAGAATGAAGCTTTTCATGGCCGCCGGATCATCGCCCCTTATTTTCATCCCACAGCCTACCATTCAATGAAATTAATATTACAAAAAACTTGCTTGTCCAGCATCTGGGAATTTTTTATCTACACGAGCATCGACATTATGCAATCATCATAAAAGTATTACTTTATGCACCATAAAATTTTGCAAAAATACAGGATGGAAGGGATAATCCGTGTCAGCAAATAAAAAGGAAAAAGTAATGAGGTATGGCAAGTTCAAAGCTTAAGCATTCTGATTTACAAAAATACTTCTTAACAGTCAAATTATGAATATAATTACAAAAGAAAACAAGGAAAAAGACACGGAAAGGTACTTGAAATGATAAGACTTACATTGCAAAACTGTGAGGATGGTAGAAACATCAATCTCTGTCAACCGCTTGCTCAACATGATCAGAAAATCGTATATTAAGTCACTGGGAAGCAATCATCGGAAATACTGCTGTGAGAATACTGTATGCTAAATTATATGATTGCAACCAACTCTAGAACAAAAATGTAATGACAATGAAGCAGCTATCAAAGATAATAGAAACTTAAGCTGGGGAAATCTCTTAAACTGCCATGATAGAGAACATTCATAAAATGTACATGACTAAGAAACTGCGATGCAAGATAACTGTTACAGATTTGTACGCTAAATCTTAAAATTAATATATATTGTATTTAATTTAGGATATTACTTTACTTGTTAATGGACATTTGTACTTGTATATATACCCATAATGTTGATGAATAAAAATATGAGAAAGCATTCTATTTCAAAATTCTACAATAACATTATCCAATATCTTTCTACATACTACATAGACTATTGTTGTCACAAAAATTAAAGCAAAATCACAACTACTGATTTTCAGTAGCCATGACGGCCTACATTCTATGTATCTGACCACATTTGCATCATGATAGAGAATAGAATAGTAAAGAAATGCTCTTAACCATGAACCTATTCACTCCATGAAAATGCTTTGATTAAGAGCACTCTTATTAAAATAAAGAAGATTTTCTAAGAGAACCTACCTCGAACAAACTCCAAAAATGCAGAGATAAGATAGCAAAAGAGTGGCATTTCTCAACGACAGATTGTCTTCTTTAAGATACTCCTCCTGAGAAAGAAAAATATGTTAAGCATTTACAAAAGTAGTAGTGCAACCAGGAAAAATGATGTAGAATACAAACAAGTTAACTGCAGTATTATCTTAGTTAAGATTTCATTTTGTTGCTCTTTTTGTATTTATGGGCAAATTCTAATATCTTGGAGGTCAAGGGTTAGTGTCTTCTTGTGGTTTTCTTTATAGGTTTTGTTTTTCAAGTCAAGTTTATCAGCATTCCAATTCTTTAAGATATTTAACACCTTAAAAGAACATTGATAAAAGTAAGAAACCAAACATAACCCTAGACTAGCACGAAACTAAAATTAGCCTCATTTATACAAGAGAAGAAAATAACTTAATCCCATAAGCTTCTGTGCAGTATCAAATACTCTGAAAATGTCCAAAGTAAAATTTAATTACATATAGCTGGCAATTTAAAAAAAAAAAATACTATGCATGCTTAAAGCCATAACAAAAGGAGAAAAAGAACAGAAAATTAAAAGGAAAAGGGAGAAACGACAAATCAGGTATATATACCATAAGTACATACCTCAAAGATCTTGGCATGTAAAGCCATAAGTTTTGCGCTGAAATCCATGCCAACTAAAGAAGCCATACCAGCAACAAATGCAGCAAAGACGGCAGCATGCCTTTACAAAGAAAAATGAACATCAACTACATACACAAGTGCAGCGAGTAAAAAAATATTAACACAAGTACAACAACAAACACCTAAGGTTTCTCCCACTAATTATAGTGCACAACAAACATGATATTGTGCCGTTGTACTCAATTAAGGATCTTGAGTATTGCATCTAGAAGGTAAACAACTAGTGCTTGATGATGAATACAGTTACTACCACACAAAATGTGTATTTTTGAAATAGGAAAATGGAGTTTCAAATCAAAATACAAATATGATTTCCACAGCTGTACAACTACCATTTTGGTTATATATTTTATATATTTGAAAGATACTATCAATGGTTATTATTTTCTAACTTCCATTATAGATATTCGTCCTTTGATTAACATATATCACATTAAAGATTACAGTGACACTTGTTTCATATATAAAAATTTCATAAGAATAAAAATTACTTCACTTATAGTGCAATGTAGAGTGCAAACTAAAAATCAAGGACCATAAGTACAGGCTCATTAAACAACAGAAACAAACATAGCATGCATATAAAAAAACTAGAAACAACTTTGACGGAAACATGACAGAAAATCGAGCACATGTACCTTTTTTAATTTATTAGAAAAAGGGAAAAAGAAATAAGTTCTTTTTACTGAATAAAATAATGAAGAAATATAACAGTATATAGAGAGGAAAGGTTGCTCTTAACTGTTCATTGCCACGAGGACCATTATGACAGGATGCCAAGACCTCCTCGCTGATAATCTGAGTGCAGACACTACGACTAGCAGACTGCAGAAGAGTAAAATGATATAGTTGACATTATATTGTTTCATTTCAACATGTAGAAGCAGAGGATACTAAATAGGCAACTGCACACAAATTTCTTGAAAAACTATCACAAGAAAGGAAAGCTTTAGGTATGATATTAAGTTCATTAAGATTAACCAACAAACTCATAAATGCAGATCCAGTAAAGCTGCAGCCCCTCCATAAATTCAGTGGGTAACACCTGTACCAGTTCCATGCACTCAAGCTTAAACGGATAAATCTAGCGAACTAATATTTTATTGAGTGAGGCTGCAGATATAGCTTAAATCTATTGCAAAAGATTCAGAATTAGAGAATTCTATTGGAAAAAAAACTACAAACAGCATAGCAGCATACACGAAAAATTGTGGCCATTTCTCCAGTAATTGATTCCACATTAGATTCAGAAAGCCTATTAAGAAGACCTGGAACATAGTAAAAAATAAACAGCATGTCAAATTCAAAAACAGAAAAGTGAATGCTAGAGTCCATCAAAACTGAATATTCATACCTCGAATTCGTCTGCGCATTCGAGTCTGCTCCTCTGATTCATTTCTTGCACGGGATCTCAAGTGAGGAGCAACATATTTCCCAATGCCCTCCATTGCAGGTGCCTTAGCTGAAGATTCATTAAAGGGTACTTCCACATCATGGCACTCAGAAGGCTGCTGTCCATCAAGGGCCCTCTCACTCTCATCCGGCATTTCACCTTCTTGTCCTTTCAGCAAAGACTTCTTCTTACGCCTCTTCCGTGAAGGCGCCTTAGCAGGAATTTCTTCCACAGCTATCCCTGCGTAGTCCTTGCCCTCAGAAACTTCACTGTTTACGTCATTTGTGGCATCATCTTTAGTAGACAGCTCCATTGACTTCTTATTCTTCAGTTTCTTAGTCGAAGAATGATCCAGAGCTTCATCATCAGAAAACCCTTCAAATAAAATATTAAGTCCATCATCACCTCCTCCTAATTTACCGCCCTTCACCCTGAGTTTCTTAGCAAGTTTCTTCTCCAATTCCAAGTCTTCTTGTGCAAGCATGTCAGAATTTGGCATCTCCATTTCAAGATACTCCTCGAACTTGGTTTTTGAAGATCTTTTCAAACCCTTCTTCGATTTAACTATCTTCGATTCATTAACCTCATGGTCATCTTTAGACTTCAATTCACTACCTTGTTGCACAACATCATTTTCTTTAAAAAGCTGACATCGTGAACCCTTTATTTTGTTCCCCTTTTTCGACTTTAAATCCCCTGATTTTCTATTCATCCTTTGTGACTTCTGTAATAACCGAAATTGACATCACATAAGGGTTGGAACGAACTTTACATTAACAACAGCGTATTGTGGCCGCAAATAGCAGTGTAACGTCAAATAGCGGCTAGCTTAAAATCAAATATTGCAGAGGCAGATAAACTTAAAACCTATCTCATGACTCAAGTAGAAATCAAAGTTCAAATTAAGTTTAGGGTTACAGAAATTACATTGCTTAACTTGAAAGATGCAAAAGAAAGACGAGGCTCGAACAGAGTGGTGATGAGAGACTTGTCCGGCGGCGGGGGATGTGTGATAAGAGATGAGAATATGTTCGGAATTTTAAAAGGAAATTTTAGGAAAATCTTTTTGCGGGTTAACTATGGAGTTTGTGCAAAGTAGTAATAGATTTTAGGGCAAACCATATTATTATTATTATTATTATTACACAAATGTCCGCGCCTATAAGATACTATTTTGTTGAATACTATGATTATTGAAAGTTATAAAATGGTCTTTTAATTGTAGATAATTGATTTTGTTGAGTCAATTGACTATTAAAAGTTACACAATGGTCAGCCACTATTCATTATGTTTCAAACTAGTCATTTTTGTTTAAAAATTAACGATAGTCTGAGCTGGATATTAACCTATTGACTGATATATGATAAAATTTGATCTCATAATCTCAAAAGACTATCGGATCTCAATCAACAGATTAACGTCTAGATCAGACGATTGTTAAATTTTTTAACAAAAGATGACGAGTTTGGAACATAATGAATAATCAAGTGACTATTTTATAACTTTTAATAGTCGAAAGACTCAACAAAGTAACTCAATAAAATAATATTCTATAGTCAGGAGATCATTATGTACTTTACGCTAATAATTTTAATTCTAAAATTTATATATTTTATCAATAAAATTTTAATTTAAAATAATTTAATACATTTTTAATATTTAAAAATTCTATCAAATTAATATTCATTTTAAATAATTTAATCCCTCAATGAAAAATAAAAATATAAAATGAATTTAAAGAGAATCAAACTTGAGACCTAAAGTAAGTTATCATTTAACCATTATATTGAAAGTTACATGATTAACAAAAATAATATTTAATTTCAATTATTATTAAATTAATTACATATTTACATGAATTATAAAAATATTTTAATAAATAATAAAGAAAATAATAATATTTAAAAAGATAGTAATTGAATTTTATATCCAATAGTTAAATCATTTGATTTTAAAGGTAATTTTTAACTACTGTTATGAAATAAAAAAAACAAAACCAAAAGAAAAAGAAAAAGACTAGATATAAGAATAATGAGAGAACTATGTATTATTATCTCAATATGAATTGTATACAATGATTTTTCTAAACATCATATGTATAGGCATAAGGAATAGATATCATATAAAACTATAACCTTAATGCATATTAAAATCCTAATAATAAAGTACATCAAAGTCATATTTAATACATAATGTTCTAATAGTAATAGACATCAACATAAATAATATTCACAACACTCTTCCTTAGATGTCTATGAAGATAGTATGCCTCATTAAAACCTTAATAAGATAAAAACTTTACCATAAAAACCCAATGAGGCAAAACCTCGATCAAGAGAAAAAGAGTACAACGTGTATCTACTTTCCCTCATGATGACTTTACCTAAGATATTTAAGATTTTTTCAATTCAATCTTGAATAGAATCATCAAATTTTGAAATAGATAATGCATTGGTGAATAAATCTTCTAAATTACCTCTTGAATGGATTCGTCGAATAATTATATTACTAATCTTTTAAAAATCACGAGGGAGAAATCTTTTAGGGAAATATATTTCCTTTAATGTATCTTCTTTTCAATTAAGTTATACATTCTACATTGTTGTCCTACAAGATAGTTGCCATCTTATCATGTTAAAACAAATCACATATCTTCTAGATGTGTTGGACCAATAGTCTTAGTCAGACATATTCTCGACTTGTCTTATGCATATAAATTATTTTTACATGATTAATATAGGCATCAAATAATGTTTGAAGACCTAGAGAGGATGATCTTGTATTAATTGGATAATATTGTCGTATCAACTAAGATATGTGGCTTCTAGACCAATAATTTCTTTTATCTTTTTGAAGGTAAAAATTATCTTTATTCACATTTTTTACAATCATCAGAGTACTCAATAGATATATTTTATTCATATTGAATCTATTTAAGATCCTTTTAGTATATGGCCATACATAGAAAATTACATATTAAGAACTTGATTTACAGGTCGAGACAAAACTTGATTTCAAAAATTCTCTATCTCAACTACTCTATTTAAATAATCAATATACTTTTGAAACTCTTGAGAAGTTCTAATTTAAAGCACTTCAAAAAACTTCAATCCAAAATATAAAATAATTATTATATTTTGATCTTAATGTCTTTATTAAGACACATGAGCAAGTGCCCAACAAATAATCATTGAGTCATGTATGTCATATATGCTCAAACTAGTTCAATCTATGCATATTTGTATAAATTTCTAATTAATTTCTAAATGCTTATGGCATTTTAAGTCTTTCATGGATAAATTTTACTATATAGAGATCCAAAAAACCATTACATGTATTATAAAGTATTTCATAACTGTCATAATAATAAAATAATTACATCCATCATAAAATAATTTAAAATTCTTCATAATTCAAGTTGTATTTTAGATTTTACGACCGCTCATTTATACCTCACTTGTATTACACCTTTAGGTGTTAGGATCATTAATTCAAAAATTTCACGTTTTGGAAGTTGATTTAACTCCACTTTAATAAAATCTTTTTATTTTGACTAATAATTTCTATATCTATACTCATCGATATATTTTATATTCAAGATGTTCATTTTTTATTTCTAAGAAAGATTATTTATAAAATTGTTGTCGACAACTTTTCTGTTTTGGATCCGTTCTTTGCTCATAATGACATAACTTATCGGCATCTCGTCATTGTTTTTATTTTCATTTTCAAGTACCTGGAACTCTTCTAGAGTTGTATTATTAGTTATGTTTGGGTCTCTTCAGGAGTACCTGCCTCTCCTATATGGTCATCTTATACTACTTGTAACCCCCTCAGACAGATGCGGGTAACCCGATCCGATCTGAAGTGTCACATTAGGGTCACCGGAGCGACCCACTGTGAAAATAGCGAAAAATTAAAAACTTTTATTAAAACATGTAAATTATAAAATGATTTATCAGTAAGAAGAAATAAAACAGATTTTCATACACGTATATAAAATAAAATACAATTACATGCCCCCTAATCACATGTATCATACTCTGCAAGCAACGCCGGAAAAACTCCCTTACTGAAATCGATAGCTGCACTGGTACAATTCTTTTAACCTACAATGTTGAGTAATAGAGTGAGCTTCGGAAAGCTCAATAATACAGAACTACCAGATGATGCTGAAAAACGTGCATATATAGATAAACATATATTTCCTTATTGGTTCCTACATCTATAGATTTTTATACTGAGCAGAGATCCTACTGATATTTCAGGTGGTAACGGAAAATGAGTTTTCAGTTGAGATAAATATTTCAGATGACTGAGTTTAGGGGATCGGAATTGGTTATCTAGTGTGTTCCCGTAAAACCAGTGAAAATATACATATCTTTTAAAACAATAGCAGTTTTAAACATATTTACCCTGTGCACAAAGTAGAGGAGCATGCAAAAATGATAAGGTCTTATCCTTGCACATAGCAAAAGAGCCTAGGGAAACTGTAAGGCTTACCCTTGCACACAGCAAGGGAAACTGGGGAAACTGTAAGGCTTACCCTTGTACACAACAAAGGGATCTGGGGGAAACTATAAGGCTTACCCTTGCACACAACAAAGAGACCTGGGGGAAACTGTAAGGCTTACCCTTGCACACAACAAGGGAGCCTGCTGTAACGGTAATTAATCCATTAAAATATGAAAATGTTTCATATTTAGAAATTAGGTAAAAAATATCGTAACCAGAAACCATATTAGAAATATGTGATAAATCAGATATCAAAATAATCTGTATTCAGAACATCGGGTATTGCCTCATAAAAATATTCAATATGTGATTTATTAAGATCATATTTTCCAGTGAAAATAGGAAACCCGATAACATATTTCAAGTAACTATCATTCATAAAATCAGTAGTTTCCATGATGTCATAAATCAGGAATAATTCATATTTTTGGTTTAAACTGTAAACATAAAACATATAATATGTTGCCACGGTTCATAAACCAGTAAATCAATAATTTCGGTGAAACTCATTTATAAACATATAAAATCGTCAGGTAGTACATGTGGAATACACTAGGATATCTAAGTATTTCTCAGGGACACTTGATAGTTATCAGAATGGATAACATGAACTAATTAAATTTGATCGGATTCTATGAACGAGGTCCTATTAAAGGGAATCGATTACTAACCGATCTAATCCGACATTTAAGGTTGATACTTTAGAATCACATCATGATTCATATGTATCAGGAAAGTGTTCATGAAACTTTATACAGAATAAATTCTAGATTCAGATTTACTGAGAGTGATTACATTAGTCAATAATCAGAGGTATTCATAATCCTTTGCATTTGAGTTAATTACATGTTCAGATATAACCAGAGTGATTTGAGCTGATAAGGGAGAAACGAAGATTCAGGACCTTTACCGTATGTGTCGATCTATCGGATTATCGAAATTACTCAAGCTGAACAACTTCCAAAACTAATGCATGTTGACCGGTCCATTCGTTGTCCTTCCAGGTATTCACTCTTTAATACCAACAATTATTGTTCATAAATAATCTTTGAGTCATCGCTGAATGAATCTTCCAATGGTCTTTATTTCATTTTCTAACTTCAACGATGTCAGGAAATGGTAACTTACTTGATTTTTGGTTCATAACCCATAGTGATGGTACCCTATGTAAACTCATCAGAGTTTCCAGACTTATCCAAATTACTTACTTAATCCTCAGTCATTGAGATTACTAAGTTCACTTAATAGTCAAGTACAATTCAGTTACTTCGGAGTTTTTCAAAGTAATTCAGACGTTTTTGAATTTCGGATACATATTGTACTTTTATTCTGTTAAATTTAGTTCGGTCTTCATGGTTGATTTGTCAAACAAATATCCAATTCTTAGTACTAAATGCGATCTAGAGTTGAGCCGAGCTGAATACTTCCAAAATTATCATCGAGCTAAACTTGAGAAGATGAACAAGCATTCAAGTAATATCTATGCCATTCAGGTGT